TCTTTGCTCTTTAACAAATGGATCTTTCTGCATGAGTCTCATTTAGTTCCCTAAATATTTTACCTGTGAGTTTGGTAACCCCTTCCCATCATTAGCTCTTCATCTTTTTTGTTTGTTTGTTTTTGTTGGTGCAGGGAATTGAACTCAGGACCTTGTGTTTGCCATGCAGGTGCTGTACGGCTGAGGTATATCCCTGGCCCCCCTTAGTTCTTCATCTCCAATGGATTCTTTGAGTCTTCCATGTGAACTTACTTCTAACAAAGGATTTAACTATCCTCACATTTTTCTTGCTTCATGGAGCAAAAGATTATGAGGAATATTTTATTTCAATAAGATTATTTAAATAACATCACTATGTCTGCTACAAAAAGGCAGATAAAAATATTGAAATTATTTACTACATCAACTTCTCAGTTTTCTTTATGCACAAACAAGATACACTTTTAAGCTCAGCTAAAGGAATTTTAAAGAAAATACCAAACAAATTCTCTGCGTGAGAATATAAGTGCTTTTGTCCAAACAATGGGAAAACTGAGGCAAACTGATTTATCTGTGGATCACAGTCCACTTAACTGAAGGCTTGAGAAAACCCACTTTTTCACTGTTTTTTTTTTTTGGTTTTTCTCCGGTACCGGGAACCGAACTCACGACCTTGCGCTTGCCAGGCAGGCACTTTGCCGCTGAGCTAAATCCCCAGCCCCACTTTTTCACTTTTGCAGATGCTCTCCCCCTTTTTTACCTTCTTAAACATTTTACCTTGATTTAATACAGAACATTTCAAAGCATTACTGAAAAAACAACTAAAAAAGATGATTTTGAGTTCAAATGTGCTTGGAAAACACCGAGGGAAATAAATTAAGCATTTTTTAAAAGCAGCAAGTTTTCTCAGAGACTTGTAAGTGCTTCTGGGCTAAGAGAACCATGAAGGATGCAACACCCACAAGTTTATCTGAACTGTCATGCCACTTCTGTGCAGCGTGTGTTTTAGGATTAGTGGCTGAGGAGGAATCCTGACTTGATGACAGAAACCACTTCAAAAACTTAAAGAAGAAAATATAAAGATATAAACAGTTTTGTTTTTCTTTTTAAAAATACAAGGTATTGCTTTACTTACCATCATTACTAATAACTGCCTGGGAAGAAATACAGTTTCTAGTTGGCAACCTATGGCATATTCTTTTTAAAAAAGACTGTGTGCAAGGCCTTAAGCCAAATAGGAAGAAAACTGAGGTTTGCTTCCATAAAGACAAGAACAATAAAAAGAAAGAAAGAAAAGGTTTGGAAAGCCAGGCTTGTCAAAACAGAAAGTCTTTTTGTAAATTCCAAAAGGTCCCCTTTCCAGATCAGAAGCCAGTCCTGGCAAATTCAAGGACAAAATTGACCCAAACTCACAGTAGCAAGAATACGCAACGGCAGGGATGTTTCCATCGGATAAGAAGTGGAGAAAGAATTCCAAGGATGAGAAGAGTGCAGATACCCCAGGTAGGGCACAAATGTCCCAGGTAAGAATCCAATCCCTTTCTCAGAGAACCAAAGGCCCTCACTTTCTGGACCTTGGCTCAAGGTGGGAAGTGAGTAACTGAAACACCACACCAGACAGAACAGGTCTTCTGGAACAAGAGGCTATTGCCCTCTGTCCAAGATGGCTAGGAGAAGTATTAAAGAGATAGGTCAGGGAGACCGCTGAGTTCACATGACTGAACATTGCATGCAGGGGCCCCTTGGGTCTCCACCTGCCCTAGACTGGGGTTTGGGGGATACAGGGATGCCAAGACCATGCAACAGATTACATGAAGTAGATTAAAAAGAGAAGGACCCCTCCAACATGTATATAGTTTAATGACTATGGATTTTAACTGTGATTAACAATCCGTGATCACAGAATACCAGCTGAGATAAGTCACTGGGCAGACACCAGCACAAAGTGTGCAGGAATCAGATGAGACCAGCCTCTCTAGTGGCCAGCAGTGAGGATAGCACACAGTGTCTGCCACCCCCAGGAGAACATCTTGGTATTTCCGCACACATCCAGTCATTTTGGAATGAGATGTGGAGATTCTTCTTGTGAAAAGAGAAACAACCTCAACTGAACATTTAGACTTCAAATTCACCAAATATTTGCCCAAATTAGATCAAATTAAATCTAAAACTTACTCTAAAAGGAAAGGTTGAATTATGAGGAAAGGAATAAAAACCTTCTCTTTTTTTATCATTTTAACTTAGAACATGTAAATGCTCACATGTTTAACATGTCTAAGAACAAACTGGCTGGAGTATCCTAGAGATCTGTGGTGTGGTTTATGTTGTTTGCAATTGCTGTCCCCTTAATATATGCTATATACAGAAATGAAAGGGAGAAAATATGGATTTTGTTTCCTCCCTGCCTCTGATACCACCAAAGTGAGAATGAATTATAAAATAGGTAGATTTATAAAATGGTATCACAGGAAAAGTTATAGAGAGACTCATGAAAAATTGGTCCTGAAGTCACAGGACTTAGTTTTAGAATAGTAATAATCATGGCCATGGTGTTCCCATGAAGCATTCTGTCAATAAGCCGAGGCAAATGTCCATCTGGACTAGTGAAGTCCCACGAAAGTAATAAGTGAAGTTTTCAATCTTCAAAAATGTTTGAACATCACTCCCTTTTAAAGGAAGAAGCCGGAAACATCTCATAACTAGATATTTCCCTGGGGAGACTAATACCCACTCCCGGGTCAAACTTGAGTGCTCCTTACCATTCTGTGATGAAACATTCACAAGACAGTGATTCCTCCAGCTTTTCTTTCAGGTTCTCTTACATTAAAATTCACTTTGCGTTAAGAAATCACTGAATGCCCACTTTTCTAATTAGGGCTTTCAAAAGAAGAAAAAGTAAAGACACAGCAATACACAATCTTAAAAGATGATAACCAGACTTTGGATGTTGCAGTGGCAAAGTTGGCAGACTGATGACTTTTTCTCCATGCACAAGATGAGGTGGATAGGGCTCTTCACCATAGAACTAACTCTGTAAGCAGCACCGTGGAAAGCAGGTGGATATTGATTCTTAGTCTTAAACTCATAAATAATTAATAAATCTATTTAAAGATACAGGCATTATTGTTTTTTCCTGGCTCAGTGATGTTAAAAAAAAAAAAAAACCTCATTATGTTCAATATCCTATAAAAAGAGACTTCGCATCTCCTAAGAAGCCACTCATATTTCCTCTTTCCCTAAGCCTTCCTTGCCTACCCATCCCTCAACAGTCACTTCTTTCTCTGAAATTCAAGAGCATTTACTGCTTGTAGAACTGACTGGGCTTAAGCAGCTATATATCTTTTCTCCTTTTTCTTTAGTCAACATAGTCCAGCAGATAATAAAACCCTCCAGGGCAGGGATTACTTTATATTCCTCTTATTATTCCTAGTTCTTAGGCTGGAGCCTGATCTGCAGCTCATAAATGTTCAATAAATGTTCACTGTTAATGGTGATATGTTTTGGACACATCTGAAACATAATCTGGAGAAACACAATGCAGCAAAAGTGCAAATCACCATCTAATGAACATGTAAGCCAAGAAATCAATATGAGAGCTGTGTGAGCACCAAGTGAAAGGCAAAGTGTTACCCTCCTCCCTGCTCCAACATCCTACTTGGTGATGGATGATGCTACATAAAATTATCGATAAAGACCAATGTAGTCACAATGATTTCTGAGCAGGAGCAAGAAATATTAAATACAGAATGTAACATTACAACAAAGGCAATAGAAAAAAGGGGCTAAACCTAGCAAAACAGATGCATTCAACTGATGAAGAATCTCTTTGCAGAGAAGTAGCTTTAGGTATAATAAAAGCATAATGCTTTCACTTCCTCCCACTCTATCCTTCCAATGAAGAGACTGAAGTGTGCTACTTCCCTCAGGATATGAGATGCCCTGTACTTTCCTCTTAAACAAGGAACAAGAAGGCAAACTCAGGCACTTAGGTTTGACAGAACAAACCTAACCCTTTCACATGTGTTACATTCTCACAGTATGAGCATGGCTGAGTAAATTCATGCAATTCTTATTTATATGCACAAAAAAGGTAGAATACTTGATCTCTGGTCTAAGTTCCTGTCTTCTTCCACAAGTTCAGCTTAAATTAGTAGCAGAAAGTTTGTGCCAAATCTATCTCAGCAACGATCCTCATTTTGTCTTTCTTTCTCCTTTAACTTTTCTTTTAAACCAGGAAGTTACTCTTAGAAAGCTCTACTACTTTTAGTGAAAGCATAGGAAAGATACTAAGCACTAGTATCAAAATGACTGATATAAAGCAGAAATAACACCAATCCAAGTATCTCTTCACCTGATAGACACCTGTGGTAGGGGTGAGAGAATGTGGTCTACAGATTTTGATATTTTCTCCCGAAATTGTATTTGCCCTGCTATTGCATGAGCAGCCCTGGTAGAATAATTGTTTTAACTATTCATTTCATTGGAACTGATTTGACTGATTTTCCACACAATATTTTAGATCTTTGGCTTAATGAACCAATCTACAAAATATGAATTAGTACATTTACTCCTCATGCCATCTACACCTACATCCATGCTTTTCATTTAGTTTCAGAATTTTGAATTGGATAATGAACTCACACAATTAATTGGTTTTACAGATACAACTCTAATGCCCAGATTTTCCTCCAATTTTAGTAATCTTTTCAGTTTGTATAAAATCCAGTATCTAAAGGAAATGGAGATTGTATTCCATAGGTTAATTGATGAATAGCAGAAATTATTTCTAAAATCAAGCTATAGTCAAAGGAAGACAAATACTATTATTTCTCTTTGAAACAATTGGCCTATGGCATCTCTTTATGGGCCAGAATTCTCATTAAAACAAAGAGGTTTTGTTCCAGGAAAAAAATATACCGAGTATTCCCCAATTTAGTGAATGCAGGAAGCCATCATTATAAGATACAGACTTTTCTCCTAGGTTTTGAAAACATAGACTTCAAAATGATTGGTCTACTCACAATCATTCAGGTCCTGTTGGTGCAGTGAGCTGAAGTGCTCTATGCCTTTCCTTTGTCTGTAGATAGAAGTAGAAATTTCTCAATGAGATATAATCACACCCAGAAGCAGTCAAGAAGAAAAGTGGAGAGGATCTAAATGGAAATACAGAGAAGCTCATTCAGCATGGTTATTTTTTAGGATGATGGTGGCAACACCCTTGGTGTGTTGGAGCAATGGTTAGAGCCAACAAGGAATTTTATGGGGTGAAAGGTGGGATTTCCCACTAGATGGCAGTAGGACTCATCTGTGACACCCATGGGTGCTGCTATGGGACAGAGTAGAGAGATACAATTAGCTTACATATTTCTGTAGTCAAGTTCATATATGGAATATTATATGAATTAAAGTGTATAGGCATGTATGTCAGACCTCCTTAGTTTGATGCTACACTGGAGAGTCTACCTAGGGTGGCATAGGTGTTGTTCTTATGAGTGCAACTACGTGTGTGGATATGAGTCTGTACAAACATCCCCATATAGAGATATAAGCCAAAAGAGGCATAGACATAGATTGGGGCTATTATTATAACAAGTCAGCATCATGTTGGAAGAAGGGGATTAGCTTCTGTTGAGTGTGTATTGTGTGCTAGGCCTTTTCAAACTTTTTTTTTTCATTTAACCTTTGTAGTAGCTGTGGAAGGTAGCAATTATTGCTCCACATTTACCAAAGAGGAAACTTGTTGGATTTCATACAATTTAAAGAACTTGCCCAAGGTCATAAAACTGGGTAGTTACAGGGTCTGAATTGAAATCTAGTTCTGTTGAACTTCCTAACTGTAATATAGTCTTCAAAACCATATACAGTCATGCCTCACATCACACAGACTTGCTACGGTTTTCTTGTAATGTGCAAATTAACTCCAGGGAATATGGTTTGTGGTATGTTTGCGCAAACAGTAATGACATGTGCATTACAAAAAATGAAAATAACATATACGCAAAAGTTTGATCTGGGTTGGATGGCAAATGTATGTAAAAGTTAAATACATAAAGCATTCCACTTTTCCCCTTTTTACCTCAAGATAATTATTAAAGAACCTCATCATAGAAAAACACACAAAAATGAATTCCAATATATAATTCAATAAACATAAGAGTCATTTAAAAGAATATTAAGATTATTTTAAAGTTGACATATCAAATCCACATGTATACATAATTAAAGCCATTCACTATTTGCCTCAAAATGCTTTAGCATTAAGGTAACAACATGAATCCCATTTATATTTCCTCGTTATGCTGTAGGAAAAGCCATTCCAATTGCGATGGTTGATGCTTACCCACTTAACTGTGATCCAGTGTCACTGAAGACTTGGTGATCTTTGAGTAGGAATCTTTTGATTATTTTCATTTTTTTTTGTTTTTTGTTTTCTTTTCTGGTACCGGGAATTGAACTCACGATGTTGTGCTTGCCAGGCAGGCGCTGTGCTGCTGAGCTAAATCCCCAGCCCTTGATTATTTTCATGCCTAGAAAGTATATTGTTCTGTAAATTCTGTTTTTGTGAGACAGAGAAAAGAAGGAAGTATATACTGAGCAAATAGTACCATGTCTGGCAAATAAGTGCTGAATAGAAGTAGCCAATAGTACATATGGTGACCATAAGGAAGAAGAAAAAGAAGCAGAGGAGGGAGAAAGAGTTGAGGAGGATAGGGGTGTAAGAAGATAGCAGAAGGTGATGGGATCCTGGGGAGACATAAGGATCAAGGTGACAATTTGCAGTTCTTTTCTTAAATGTCAAAGTTTCACCCCCAAAGGTACAAAATGTTTGTAATGATGTGGAAGTTTAAATGTTTACAAGCACCTTGAAAATCATCTTATTCTTCACCACAAACTTTGTGCAGTTGTCTGTTTCTATTGGAGACTGATTAGCATTGCTGTAAGCCAAAGACGAATGTGCCGAGAACTGAACCCAGGGCCGAGACTGTGGGATTGAAAGTGAGGGAAAAAGGCAAGCAACATTCCATCACGTTGTACTTTGGGCACTGGAAAATATGTATGTTGTGTTGTTTACAAATCATCTTTTCCTCCAGAAGGTAAAGGTGAACTCTGGCACGTCAAAGGAAGCTTCCTCTTGAAAAATCAAAGCAAGATAGAGGTATTTTCTTGAATGTTTCAGACCTCTAACAAACACTGTCTAAAAGGACAAGTCAGGACTTACGCAGTGGGGGAAAAAGTAAATATTATGTTGTCTTTAAAAGTGCAATTTCACTGAGCAAGTTTCCTAAGTGGATTTTTGTCATATTAGGCCCATGTCTTTGTGTCTTTCTGCTGGGGAACACTGGAAACTGAATTAGTAAAACTTAGCAATCATAAAAAAGTCTACCATTGGGGCTGGGGATTTAGCTCAGTGGCACAGCGCCTGCCTGGCAAGCGCAAGGTTGTGAGTTCGATTCCTGGTATCAGAGAAAAACCAAAAAAAAAAAAAAAAAAGGCTACCATTTATTGAACACTTACTATGCATGACACTCATTTTTATGTTTTGTATCATTTTATATGTAATACCACTCTATAAATTAGGTAGCATGTTAGAGATGAGAAATAAGCTAAGAGAAGTTAAGTAACTTGGTCAAAATCACATGAATAATAGGTAACAGAGCTAAAACTCAAACCCAGACGCTAGCTGAAGCCATAGCCCTTTCTGTGGTCTACCATTCCATGCTAAGCTGACATCTGTATTAGTGCCTGACACACAGGAGGCAGGTGGCAATGCTAACCCTTACTTGTTTTCAGGGAGTACTGACTGTGGAGTGTTACCTCTTTCAGCAAATTCTATTTTAATGTGTATACAGTTTGAGAGAGTATCACATTTCTGTTTTGGAGGCCCTGGGTCTTATCTTAAAAGTCTAATATCATTCCCTGGGCTCAAGAAACAACAAGTTGAGGGGTCAATAGTTGGAAGTTGCCTACATGAATATTTTAAGAGACAATAAGGAAGACATCTGACTTTCTCTATCCCATTCTGGCACATTCATACTTACATAATTACATGAAGATGGATAGATAGATAGACAGACAGACAGACAGACAGACAGAACTTGGGGGGTAGGTCCAAAGATGGCTGTTTTCAGCAAATAGTCTCCTGAGCTATTAGAGGACTATAGCAAATTGTAGCAATACCATCGTAGCCACAAATTAATCATTGCCTAGTATGTCCGAGGCCCTTAGTTTGATCCCCAGTGCCACACACACACCATAACAATGTTGAGGGAAAAGTAATTCAGAATTTGGGAAACATATAATAAATACCGATCTCTTGACAGTCAAGCTATAAATTGATCCCCAAAACTAAGCTGTTAAAAAAAAAAAGATTTAGAGCCAATTCTTAGGATTTTCCTTACTAATAATTGTAGTGGAAATTATAATAATTATTTCCTTTCATTGATATTTCAATATCCATGCAGTCTAATTTGAGAATACCACCAAATTTTTGTAACAGGTGTCCCCAGTCCCCAACTTCTCCAGCCTGATGAATTCTCTCTATTGCTATACTATTCCTGCTCTGTCATCCATCCGTGGCACACCCCTGTCCTCAGAAAATCCAACTTCACAATTTGGCATTTGACTTGATTTCAGTTTCCCAACCCCCTTAATCTACTGTTCTTCAAAGTCAGTCCTTCAGTTAACTCCACAAGGCTTACTCTGATCCTCGAACAGGGCACAGATCTTCCTGCCACCCTGCCTTTGCACCCCTACTCTCCCTCTTTGCACCTGTACATATATGTTTCTTGAGAGACTATAGGTTTCTCTGCACAGAGGTTGCTACCTGCACATCTGTGCTTCCCTCACGGCACCTGGCCTTGTGTCTTGTACCCGGCATGTTGCAGCAACTGCAGTCAACCATGTGCACACAACTAGCTTCACCAACCACTTTACCTCCTAGCTTATGTCTCTCAAACTTGGATGTCCACAGCACAGTCACTTTAGATGAGCCAACATTTAGAAACTCACATGACTTATTTTTATTTTTTTATTTTTTTTTGTTTTTCTCCAGTACCGGGAACCGAACTCACGACCTTGCGCATGCCAGGCAGGTGCTTTTGCCGCTGAGCTAAATCCCCAGCCCCTACGTGACTTATTTTTAAATTGAACTATGCTGGTAAAGCCCTGTTAGCACAGAAGCCAGAAATATGTAAACTATTTGCCTTTGAGGAGAAAAAGCAATTCATATTTTACAGGTATATTTTTAAAAATTTATTGTAAGTTTAGACCTTCAAGCATGGAACACCTCCAGGTGACCATGACTTTGTGCCAGGTGCATCTGTCCTCCAGGCAGTTGCATGTCTGTCCAGTAGAGGTAACTGCAGAAGGAGTTACAGAGTTAATGGAAGAGTTAGTGCAGATGAAGGCAGGGAGGTTGAGAAAGAAAGACCATCTGTAGTCAGAAGATCTGGCTTTGATTCCCAGTTTTGTATCTGACACCTGAGTGATCCTGAAAAAAGCCATTTAACCCGCAGAGCAGCAGTTCCTTCCACCGAAATATAGGAAGTATAATATTTAAACTCTGAGGGTTATTGTGGGAATTAGCTGTGTTAATTGTTGTGCGGCCACCTAAATTAAAAGAGACTCTGTAGATGGTAGCTATTAGTAAGGAAACAGTCTGAGAATCTCCAGTTTTTAAAAGCATCATTAGAGGTGCTTCTAGCTGTTTCAAAATGATTTTTCAGGAAATGTGTGATGATTTGTGTCAGTATGTCTGCTCCACATTTCAGGTCTAACACTGTTGGTATTGACAGCTAGCAGAGTCTACGTCTAATAAAGAATTCTTCTCTTTAGTGTTTTAAGGTTGATGGCTAAACTGCTGCTAGCAACCCAGTTAAGTAGTGGCTAAAATTCCCATTTCAGATGCAGATTCTGGCCTTGGATTTTCTCAAACACACACACACACACGCACACACACACACACACATTATTAAGTATTCTCCCTCCCTTTCCTTTCCCTTCTCTTCTCTCTTCTCCCTTTTCTTTCCTTCTCTTCATTTCACTCTCTTCTTCCTTCTAACAAGAGTCTAGAAATATTTGCCCCAGAAAATGTCACATATATCTTTGGTTAATATCATATTTTGTTTCTCCCCTGCCTGAAACACTTGTGAAGCATCCTCATTTTCTGTAGAGATAGACACTAACAGATAAACTATACCTTACTGTGTATTATTTACCAATTAGGCCTGAGAACAAACTATAAAGTTAATGTATAATCTTCTACTTGGGCTGCTTGGTTACTGCAGAAAGCTTCTCGAGCACTTCATGGCCTATAGAGTTATGATGTTTCTATGATGTGATGGGAATTATTGACTCACTGAACCTACATGCTCCCAGAGTCCACATAAAGGCCCTTATTTCCACAATGGATTGAAAAGCCAGCAACTCTAGTTTCCTGCTTTTCACAGCCTGTAGAGTATTGATCTGGTAATGTATCAACTCAGACATCCTCTGGGTGTCCTTAGCTCCTCAAACACACATGCCTCCATCAGGAACCTCAAACCAGCATCTGCATGACAACTTCTTATGTCCTAGACTGTTCAGATTGTTTTTGACATTGACTTTTTTAACATTAAAAGTAGTATTTCCTCTTTCCTTGAAACATAGAAGGTCATACAAAATAATATTCCCTGGGAAAAAATAGGAAAAATGCCATAAATGCCCAATTATAAACAAGAGAAGCCCATAAAATATGATTATGGAATTTCCAAAGTGGAATAAAATGAAGTAAAATTATTTGCAAATTATAGTATATTAAGGCAGCGATAAGGCTGATATATTAAAGATAAGACTTCTGTTTAAATCAAGTATGTGTGGATGAACTTTATGTGCTGATTTTCCTGAAGGGACATTGTTAGCAATTCTTTAATCAAATGTACTCATAACACAAACAAAGGAGAGAGGTGGCCTGGAAGCTGGTCTTCCAGGTTTGCAGACTGCAGTCCTCTGAAAAGCCTATCTTCCAGTGACTGACACATGTGACATGGGCTATATGGAGTATTCTGGGAGAAGGCTAGGAGCTTGACTGCACTCCTGTCTCATTACTGGGACAGTTATCTTCTCAATTTCAGCATACAAAGCAATTGTTTTGCATGACCACTATCTCATTTATATACATGAAACCACATACTTTCCTCCTGTGTTTCCATAGGCTGATTGTTCCCAGAAACTTCTCCAGGTCATCTCTCTCTTCTCCTTAATGCAGAGCTCCAACTAGGATTAGTGATCAGACCCACTACTCTTCCCTATGCTTTCTGCTGGCTTTGAAATCAACCCTCTCACTTCCTGTGCATTGGAATGCAGGGGTTTGCAACAGATCCTTTTGTTTAAGTGACAGAGATTCACATATGTTAAGTGCTCGCTCTATATTTGTTGAATAAAAGAATGAATGAATTCAGAATGTGCCCTGCCAGGGACCTAGATTCTCTGAATCATCCTGTCTTGCACAAGATCTTTACATTTTTAATATGTGAGAGATTGAAAAGATTTCTAAACTCATAGGATTGGTTCTGAATGGAAGGGATTTTACCCTCAGTGCAAGCAGTGAAGTCCTGAGTGATATGTCTTTGAATTGCACCTACTCAATCTATTTTTCCATCAAGGGCTCATAAGCACCGCAACAGCAATGACCTTTTCCCTACTTCTGTGTTTAACCCCCAACGGTCCTCATTATATTGCTCTGTTCAACAAATGTGAACGTCCAACTCTTTCTGTTCCTTCCATCCCCAGATAATTTAGAGTTGACTCTAATAAAATGTTTTGCAACTTACAGCATGAAGTCGTTAAAGATTCTCTGTCAGGTAATTGATAAAAGAACAGTCCAGCCTGTCCTTTGCATGCACTAACTCAAAAGTTCACATAACCTGTAGTTGTACAAATCATACCTAAACCACCTTTGGCTTGCTCATGTGCAGATCTCATCCATCAGCTGATGAATGGTGATGCTGATCTCCGGCCTTTATACTGCCCGCAACTGGTTCTGCTAGAGGGAAGTCCAGGCCCCCATTGCTACTAGGATGCTGGGATGCAGGAAGAAAGCCTCTTGATACAGAGTAATGTCCTGCCCAACACCTACTAAAAGTTTCCGGTGCCGACTTAGTTCTACACTATGGCCAAGGCCACAATTATGCCTCTTTACCTACATGCCCTACCAAGCTCTTTTGACCAAAGCTGAGGAAGCTGCAACCCAAAGCAGCTATGTTCTGACTTAGGCATCTCCACACATCCAATTCTTCCTAGCTTTTTGCCCTTGTTTTTTCATGCAAAATTAATATGCAGTATAAAACACAAGGGAATTTATGGGAAGCTACCGGGTAGGGACTTTTCCCTAAAGACATTTTTTTAAACCTTAAGCTGAGGTTTATGAATTGGAAGCTGCTTTTAATTCGTGAAAATGGATTGGTTGAAACAGACTCACTAATATGAAATCGTGGCTTATATTCCAGTAAAATTTCCCTTGGCATCAGCCAGTTAACCTGAACACAAGGCAGTAATTTGCTAACTACATTTATTCTATTGCAAGTGACACTTAGCATTCAACTCTTTACTTAAAATAAATTTACAATAGCTTTATTCTTGAGGATGTTATTTATAAGACAAACTAGGAATACATGTTCACTATCCTTGCCTTTGAACCTACAGTTACACGGAATCTAAAGAAACCACCATACAATGTTCTCAGAGGGCCTCAATTCCCAGCCTCGTTCAGAACAGTCAGAAGTTTCCATAGTCCACAGAGAACTGCACCTATCAGCTTTCCCACCATACTGTAGGCAGGCCAGAAGATTTCTACTTAGTAGTGATTCATTAAGGCCAAACAAACAGAATAGTTGTGGAACTTCCAGGAGCATAGATAGAGCTGCAAAACATCTTATTCTATTGACAGGAGCCTCAAGAAAGTGGCATTCATCTGTCCCAAACAAACTTACTTTTACTCTTGGGGAATTCCCTTTAGCTTTTGCATGCAAAGAATGCAAAGAATGAGGTATCAGTTTGCCTAGTGCTTGAATAAGTATTAAAAATATGAAAGAGTTATCACCTATATTATGTTCTATGTGGATATGCACCTTCATGATAATGTATATTCTCAACCTCTACAGAAAAAGATATAAATTATTAACATTCACTTTAGAGCTCCGTAAAACTAATTCTCATACAGTGGCACTAAACACTCAACAAATGCTTGGGCACAATGGCTGTCTGCGACACTCACACTCTATCGTGTTAGACGCAGTCATTCTCTCAGGTGAAGTAATTTGGGCAAAACTGCATGATTTATGAGGCTAATACAATAAAGCTGAATAATTAGATAACCTCTTTCTATCAGGCTACATATTATGATGTCTTTTTGACACAGTAGTCTAAATTAGAATTGGTTTGGATCATGAAGTATACTATTTGGAAGATACTGTATGTGAAATAACAGCTGTACGATTCCATGTCCACAAAAGGATTGTATCCAAAAGACCTCAATATTATCTATATTATTGGCTAAAAGACCTACAAATATTTTACTGATGAAATGACTATAGATATACACAAATGTAACATATATTGCAAGTAATGCTGCAAGTATTACTCCCACAAATAGGTAGAACAATAAAGAATTTGCAAAAGGTAGCATGATGGAACAAAGTCAGAGAAAGAATTTTGCCTTACCGTGTAGTTTCTCCTGGGCTTCAAAGTGATGGTTTTGAGAAGAGCAGCCACTGTCACCACAGAGACCACACTGAGCATGAATTTGCAGTCCTTTTCAGGCGGTCAAGGCAAAGAACACGGGTAACTTGGAGAACCCATGGGTGTCTGGGGGTTTGCTCTCCTAGCTCACGCAGTCCTTCCTCGTTCTTTTCTAGTGCCTCAGCACTAAAATGGTCTGTCATTCTAGAAGATTTGCTTTTGAAGTGCTGATCTCATTAGCATCCCGTTCTCCTTCAATGGTCCAGTGACATTTCAGGACCAGGTCATTTTCTGATTGGAGAATTTGTTTCTTATTAAGTTGCCCCACAAGCCATCTCAGAGGTCCAACCAGAGCCATTGGAAGATCATGCTGGCCACACCTGTTCTGCTTGACTTTCCCTGGCCACATTGTTTCCTCCTTTTATTACTCTTTACACATTACTGAGAGGTTAAAATTTTACAAATCTTATATTCAGAAGACATTTTGTCTCCAAGATGATAGAAGATAAGGAAAGCTTGTACACCTGGCATTCCCCGGGTGGAAAACTCCATTGGCTGTCTTTGAGTGTTGACACATGAGCAAACTTCATTGTCAAATTCAGGTGGGATGGGTAAGTTCAAAGAAATGTTCAAGGGAAATATGTCCCATAGGCTCTCAACCCTTTCTCTTTGATTGAGAACTACACAGGTTAAGTTACACACTGAAGTTAAATTGTACACTGTAGTTATTTTCACACTGAGGCAACTTAAAACTCAGGAGACTAAAATTGCAGCCTTTATCACTATCATTTCATTCTCCTCTTTGTTTTCATTATCTATTTAGAAAAAGCTTTTATTCCCCAACATTGCGTAGAATGACTTGCACAGATTTGCCGTGAGCATGGAGTAAAAACTAAGGCTCACTTGTATTCACTAGTTCCTTTGAACATCACATAATTGGTCCCTAGATTTTACTGAAATCTTAGATTTTATTCTGAAAACCTTATATTAGCGATGGCTTTATCCTAAGGATCAACTCCCTTTAAGCCTCAATATATATTCCTTGCCTTTGGAAATGGAGCTGTTTTTCCAAAGGCTCAGCATGCTGTCCTTTGGGCTTTTCCATATCTATAGCAACCACTCTGTTGGAGAACCTTACAAATAAAACTAAGCTTTGGAGTCTGGGCACATATAAAAGATCCATTGCAACAATAAACATTTTAGGTTCTTTGTTTAAACCAGAAACAATAACTTATTAATAGCTATTGAGGTATTGTCCTTGGTTCTGATTAAAGATAAACAGGTTCTATTTCTTGAAACTTTGCAGTTCCAATTTAATTTTCTCTTACATTTAAGAAATTTCTGCTTGATACTTCAATATTAGACATATGTTTAGAAGAAATATATAACTTTAATTGGCAATGAAAGGGGATGTCCTCTGTTATCTTTGCTGAATTTCCTGAATTTCTCCAGAAGTTATACATGTCAATTTTGGAAGTATCCTTTTTCAAAAAAATCTAATACCTCCATGAGGACTTTTATTACATTCTCAGCATTTCTTTGACACAGGAAAAAAACATTAAATATTTTAAGGGGGGAGGAATAAAAAAATAATGTCTAGTTATGTTAGATTCAGTGCAATGTGTCCTTTTAGTTAATAATTACTTACTAAAAGGAATCTTGGGATCCTTGAAGAAATAACTGATTCTGAAAATGAGACTATAAATAAGTATATACAAGACAAGTGTATCCTGTAGTAATAAAAGGTACGAAATCATTTAAACACACACACATACATTCACACAATATATATGTCAAAGAGATAGGAGAGGCAAGAGCTCTCAATAGCCAACTTTGGAGCAATTTGAACAACAAAATGGAGTCATCCAGCATAATAAGTATCTATGGTTTCATACTGATATAAGGTAATTAGTAAATAAATAAATGAGAAGAATAGAGCTTTCATTCTGAACAACTTCAAAGATACTTGCCCCCTACAAAGGTGGAGGGCTACCCTACTCCTTAAAGTGTGGGCTGCTGATAGTGACTTTCTTCCAAGTGCACACAGCATGGACAGAGTAATTTTCCACTGGAGAAACCTAGAACTATTACTTCAAAACCAAAAATAATGCCATCATTTGTAGTCCTGATATGAAGAGGTGAGAATGGTGATTTACTTTTGTGGTCTTCCTCCTAGTACCCAGCACTCAAGTCCAATCATGATAAAAAAATCAGACCAACCTATAAAATACCTGACTTAACCTTTTCAAAACTGTCAAAGTTATCAAAATTAGTAAGTCTGAGAAATTATCAGAGCTAAGAGGAGTTGAAAGGGAAATTATGATTAAAGGTAATGTGGTATCCTGACTGGATGCTACAAGAGAAAGATGAAAACTAAGGGAATATGAATAGAAGTACAGTAATATGCTGATATTAGTTTGTTAATTGACACATGTACCCTGATATAAAAATGAATATAGCAAAAATAGGTAGAAGGAAAATTAGAGCTCCTATCTTTGCAATGGATCTTTTATTTATTTATAAAATTGCTATAAAACAATGTCTAGTTTTTAAAGATGATCTATGTATCTCAGGTACAATAGAAGTGCATGGGCACACTGGCATCCAATAAATGTTTGAACTGAGAATTCAACTGAGAATGGAACCCACAGCCTCACACATGTTAAGCAATTGCTCTACCACGGAGGTACAGCCCCAGTCTCTGGTCTTTTATTTAATTCCAAAAAAGACTTGGATGGTAGAAATGGCACATTAAAAAAGCAATTTTTCTAGTGGAGAAGTCAGAAGTAATTTTGTAGTAATAAAAGAAAAATATGAATGTTATTTATAATCACAGTAGAACTTTAAAAATTATAATGCTAGAGTCAATATTATTTTCAAAATACTTTCATATTTCTTTGCAAATGTAATTCCTTTACTAATGTATTTACAAAGCAAGATAGGTATTACTTTCTCTATTTTAAATATGAAAATCTTGAGGCAATGAGACACAAGTACAATGTATAATATTAGGTGGAGAATTGCTTTGAATCTGCATATGGATAGTAGTTAGGCTGGGGTTCTGGCCAGCTTTCAGTTTTCTGGAATTTAGTTTCCCTATCTGAAACATGGAGAACACTCCCATGGTAGAGAAGATTATATGTACCACTTCTCCAACACTGAATACATAGAATATAATAAATTTATTTGTAGTTTAAAGTAAAGAACTGAAAGTAATTGTTAAGAAAATGTTTAAGGATCAAAATCAAAAAAAGAAATCTACAGATGTAAGCAAAGACGGGAGTCCTTTGGTCACAGGGAGATGAGAATAGCTCTCTATGTGTGGTCCACTGGCCTTCAAATGGGTTCCTAACATGGCTCAGACTGTGCTTCAAGTCCCCTCTTGTCTCCCCAAAGCTTGTCACCAGAGTCAAGACTCTCATATGAGGCCGATTCTCAGGTAATGGCAGATAGCTGCAGGCACAGAAATGGAGCTGCCACTGATTTTAGAAAGGGAGACCTCAGCTGAGCTGCCAGCACAAGCTTCTTGTGGATCCGGACAATGGAGAGGCATGGAGTCTGCTGCCCATAAAACAGCTTTTCCGTGAGAAGGCACCAGAGAAAGCCCCTGAGAGATTAGTAAAATCAAAGAAATGGGAGAATTCTTACTTAAAGAAATGGAAATACTGGAGAAATAATAGAAAAAGTTAAAAAGAAATCATAAAAGGTGAAAGTGGGAAGCTCAATGGTAAGTATAATGAAAGACAAAAATGAGTTAATTTCCCAGAGAGACAAAATGACAGAAAAACTGAAGGAGAAATTAATAAACACCGAGGCTGAATAGCACCAAGAGTCTAATAATTGCAGAAGGAAAAAACTATAAAGAATGGGGAAGATGATCTAAAAGATTTAGGTAATATCTGTAATTTTCCAGAATTAATTAAAATGACAGCAGTTCTCCAGTGTCTCAGATTAGAGAATCCTATATGGGCACACAGCAGGGGAAATAAAAATAAGCCCACATAGGGACGTTCCAATGGAGAAGAGACCATAACACTCACCAGAGGAGACAAATGACCTTAAAAGAATGGAGATCTGGGTGGGAGCTCATTTTTCATTAAGAAAAGAACTTGTTCAAGTGCTATGGGAAAATAATATTGAACATAGACTCTTGTGTCTTTAAGAGTAAGTGTCAAATGAAAACATTTACAGACATTTAAAGATACATTTAGTTCTCTCAGCTACTCATTGCAGGAACTATTGAAGGATATAATTCATCACAAAGATAAATCCAGAATGAAGGGATAAGTTTCAAACAAGGTGACAAGCAAAGAAACTAGATAGTTGAGTGATAAAAATACACTGATGTTTATACTAAGTAAACAAGCAAATATGCTTCTTATTTTTTAAACATGCTGAAACTGAAATGCTAGACCTCAGTCTCATGAAAATTGAGAGTGAGAAAATCTAATGAATATTGAGGTGTACTAAGGGCCTACCTTGTATGCACTTTGTCAGAAATGTGGTAATGGCTTAAATGTATTAAAATTTGGGAACAACCTGAGGTCATAATATTAAGAGAAATAAAATTAGATACCCAAATTTAAATATTGCATGGTTTCTCTTATATGAGAAACTGAAATTATAAATAAGAAGCAAAATAAAATATAGATAATCAGAAGCAGGGAGATAAATCTTTCTCAAATGAGAAGGGGGTGAAGAGATGGAAGGAAATGGGAAGAGAGGGGGAGGGATGAAAATAGAAATTAAGGTGTGTTAGTACATATCCCAACTCCACACAAGAAAAGTAAACATTATGTACTGTAAGCATGTACTGATAAAAAATTAAAATGTATAACTGTAAAATCAGTATAGGAAGGAATGTGACAAAAGAAAAAATGTCAATTCAATAAAAACTGATGAAGAAAAAATAAAGCAAAAGTCAAGTACAGAGCACAAAATAAGGAGGTAGAAGCAAATGCAAACATATATGGAGGGAGGGAAAAGGGCTTTCTATGCAGAATTCATGTCTCATTTAAATTTAAAATCCCTGATGATAAAATTATAATACATATACATCACGTATGTCATCAGCTAGGTAGAGAGTCTTAAATAGACCAAAACTTTAAAACTTATCAAATTTTCATAGCGATTGGATTTATGTACTGGGTTGAGGGTCCAAGAAAACTTAATTTTATAATGTATTAATTATTTGTATAGTAGAAAAGAGACAACACAAAT